ATTATCATGACTTACTCCTTTGGGAATATTTTGCTAATTTGTTTAAAGGGAAAACTAACATCCTCACTGCAGGAGGAACTAGAGGAGGATCCCAGCTCCTCATCTCAGCTCTAGCTGCTGGTTTAAAGTAACGGGAACAGAGCTGAGCTTCTGCTTCTCAGAGGCGCCCTGGCTCTGCAGCACGCCGCCTCCCATAACAGACTCTTTTTGTGAGCAGAGCTCACAGGTTTGGTGGGGGGGTGGGGGTGTGTGTGTTAGGGGGGTGCAGAGGAAACCTGCAGTAAGCTAGGCCATGTTAGCTGATGGATGCAGCCCTCCCTCTCCTCCACTGACCAGTTAAAGCCGCCCGCTGGCTAATGAAGAGTGACAGCTCCCTGGGATTTGTCGGCTATGCTTCTCATTTCCACCACTACTTCTCACCAGCGATGCCTCATGCTTTTCCCTCCTCACAATGAAGAAAGGGGGTTCCAGGCTGGTTGGAGGACCCCTGAGACCCCTGCATTTGGAGCAGTGTTTTAATGAGCAGTGGGCTTTATGAAGCCTTTCCTGTGCTGCTTCCACAGCTCTGGCCGCTGTTTCATCTGCAGCAGGAAGCAAATCTGCTAACTGAGATCCAGCAAGCAGCGTTTCCTCAGACGTCTGCCGTCAGCGCCGGCCGTCATTAACCTGTGGAACGCTGAGCTGTGGTACAGCGTTCTGAAAGTTTGGCACAGAACTAGAGTTTTAGGATTTGCTTCTGTGATCTAATCAGACAGAGCAGAACATCACTGATTTATTTCAAACAGAAATCCCAAAAGTTGCTTCTGGATTTATCTTTTAACCTTCTGAATCAGTTCCTGCTGCAGCTGCATGTCTTCAGGGGGATGAATCTACCAGCCTGGTTCATCAGAAACTTCAAAGCAACCCTGTGTGACCTTTGACCCCATGATCAGCTCAATCTGAGCTCCATCCAATGACCCCCAGAGTATCGATGCTCCTCTGTGACCTCAGAGGGTCGATCTGTCTCTGAATGGGTCATGTGACCCGGAGCGCAGCACAAGCTAACAGCTGTTAGCTCTGAGGGACTCCAGGATTCTAGACCTGCTGGTCCAAACTGGTCTGATACCAGAACCAGAACATAAACTGGGTCATTTAGAGAGCAAGCAGCCAGTGGCCTGCAGGGGGCGCTGAACCTTTCATCTTTAATCTGCTGACTGTAGATGAAGCCTCCATCTGTTTTTAGCTGCATTGCTGCGTTCCATCAGCTCTGACCAGCTATCCTCCTGATAGGGGTCAAAGGTGAGGTCAGCAGCAGCCTCCATGTCTTTTCTGGGTTAAATGTTTTAGAATTAGGGCCTCTGATGGCTGTGCTTCAATAACAGCTCAGAGGACAGATGTTTTAGTATTTTGTTGGATTGTTTAGCCATGCCTCACATGTCAGGAAACAACAGCTCCATCTTTCTGTTTTCCTCCCACTCTGAGGACCCAGACCGATTCACTCTTCCCTTCTTCCAAGGACCTTCATGTGTCCACCTGTCCTCTCAGTCAATCCATCCAAACAGCAAACTGACTCTCCCTAAATGTCACATAGAGACCGAACCAGAAGTGCAGGCTCTCCAGGTGTCCAATGTGACTGCTGATGGTTTTACGCTGGCCTGGACGGCGGAGGAGGACGCCTTCGACACCTTTGTTCTGATGCTTACTGCGGCCGAGGACCCCAGCCGACCAAAGGAGCTGGTTCTGGGTGGCGAGGAGAGAAACGTCACACTGAGCGATCTGATGCAGGACACCGAGTACAATGTTGAGGTGTTTGGGCTCATTTTGGGAAGACGCTCCAAGTCTGTAAGAGAGCGGGTGAGAACAGGTACATGGTGGAAAGGAGCGGCGCTGCTGAGGTCTGCCAATAAAGTCCATGTGGATCCATGTCCGGTCTTTTGTTTTTTCTCTGACTGCATGGAGAGATGTTGTCTAACAATCTGTGTCATATGTCTACATGTATACTAACATGGTGCTTTTGACTTTAAGGGTCTGCCTGTGGTGCTGCGTTCAGGTTCAGGCAGTTTCTTTAATCAGTGGAATTAAGCTGATAATGAGGCATGAAATGTGTCCAAAGGTCTAACCTCTAACGGTCTGAGGCTGTTCTAGTCGACTATCCTGGTTCTGAGCAGAACGTTCATCACTGCCAGGGGCGTTGGGTTATTTTTAGGATTTTAAAGACGTGTTTTAATGAAGTTTTTAATCAACGGTTTTTACCATATTACTGGATATTTGGCCATAATGCTAGACCTCGGTTACAGTCGTGTATTTATGATAAATCCCAGTGTTGGATAGAAACTAGGGCCTTTCAGAGGAAAGACGTCTGCCTCCAACTATTCCTAGAACTGTTTTAATTCATGTTTAAACATTAAAAAGAGTCTTTGAGAGAAAAGGAGTCACAGATTCAGCTGCAATATAAACACTGAGCCTACTGCAGGGTATGGTGGTGGCTACATCATGCTGAGGGCTGTCTGTCAGGAACATCGCCAGCTTTAAGGATCTGGCTGGCGGTGTGATCTGGGTGAGGGGGATCTATCCATGGTCCTGATTTCAGCCGATGAGGATAAATGGCGCCTCCCCAGGAGCTGGATCTGTTTCCAGGTCAGCAGCTTAAACCGCTCCAACATCTTTAGTTAACCAACGGAACCAGGTCTGGACTCTGAAGGTGTCTGCAGCTTATCAGTGGTAAACAATGTCGGCCCTAATATTGCTGCTTTCTTTGGGATACTACAAACAATTTAACTCACAGTTTATGTTAGAATTTTTAAGTTTGAAGTTTCCTCCAGGTCAGGGTCCAGCTTAGAAAGTTCAGTCTAGGCAACAGGATGTGACGTCTGCTAGAAGATGTTTCGCTCTCATCCAATAGGCTTCAGACCATCAGAACCCTCTAACGACCTTTAACCCCCCCTGTGACCTCCATGGCCAATCCAGTATGAGGGATTATTCCTCCTAATTCTTCATTAGACCTACAGCATATTAATCTTTTACTTTATTCCATGGAAATAAAGTGAGTCAAAAACTTATTTTTATTTTAACTTACTGAAAAAGTTGGAGGTAATCAGTTTCCCTCTAAAGTTTGGATCTTCTGAACTCTTCGGGTTTCCATCATGGAGAATAATCATTGACTTTTGAAGCCAGTTGTTGTTTTAAGATTCGCTGAAGCTGTTTTTCGTCTATTTTCTGGAAAAGAGCAGAAGAAAGGAAAACGTGGACCGGGATCCGGACCGTAGATGTTCTACTTTAGGCCGGATGTTCATCCAGAAGATGGAAACTCGTCTAGCCTGGCAGAATAATCATGCTGACGTGACTCTCAGGACATTTAGCTGCTCTTCCCTTTGTATGTTTTGTGAACCCCCCCCCTTCATTGTCGGGGTGGGTTGGTTGTCCCTGTCTGTCCCGTGCCCTCCCTAAGGGCAAGGCTTTACTCTTGGGTTGCGGCGCATGTTTCACTTTGTGTGTTCCATGAAATGAGGCCAAGTTAATCTCCTTCAGGTCTGTCACGCGACATCCTGCGGCGGGCCGCTAACTGAGGAGGGTTTCTGTGAGCCCTGCCCTCCCCATGTCCCCTTTGTCTGTGTCTCCAACTCTCTTGCTCCATCTGTGTGAAGGATTGCCTTTCATTGGGGGATCTGCACAGGCTACAATAACTGCTCTGCTGGTGTGTTGTTTCCTGTCTGCTGCTTCAGTCATGTGTTCATATCAGCTCCACCAACATTCAACCCAACATTGACTGAATCTTTCTTGTCATTTTCTGTGTCCTCTGTGCCAGACCTCGGCTCTCCAAAGGGCATCCGCTTCTCCGGAGTGACCGATACGTCCGCCACCGTCCACTGGCTGACTCCCAGGGCCCGGGTGGACCGCTACATTGTCACCTACATGCCTGCTGATGGAGGTCTGGATCTACGCTTCCATCAGCCTCACACCTGATTCTGATTCTGATATCAGTAATCTATAATCAGACATTCACTATTACACTCTGATCAATATCTGTGGCAACAGGGAAACCTTCATGTCCAATAATCCTGTCATCTCAAGGAGTAGTCCAGTGCTGCCCCCTGCTGATCGTGTGACAGAATTACAAAAATGAATTAAAATAAAATCCTGGTAGTTTGAGAATAGACCGGGGATAATCCAGGATGTTTGGTTAACAATGATGACAGGAAGTGAGGAAAAAGCAGTAAAGATGTTAGACCTGTGAATTCCTGCCTCAGGTGAAAGTCAGGAACAGATACAAGATGGTGGAAATCTGGAAGTACACGTCTAGATCTTCTCCTACATCAGTTTCTGGGTGATTTATTACTGAGTGGTTTGACCTCCCAGGTGTGGCCAAGACCCTGACAGTGGATGGCTCCATGTCACACACCGTCCTGCCAAACCTGACGCCTGGGGTCACCTATGAGGTCATCATCGTTGCCGTCAAGCAGGAGAGAGAGAGTGAGCCTGGATCTGACAGCGTCACCACAGGTAGCCTGACACTCAGCATAGAAAAACAAAAGCAGAACTCAGACCTTCCTGGATCTGACTCCATTCATCATCACTGTGTGTCTGTGTGTTACAGCTCTGGATAAGATCCGTGGACTGACAGCAATCAACATCACAGACACTGAGGCCCTACTGCTGTGGCAACCCGCCATCGCCACCGTAGATGGTTACGTCATCACATACAGCGCAGACACTGGTAGGTTAAAGCTCAGACACCCAACAGCTGACCATGGAGATCTGTTTACAGCGGATCCCAGTTAGTGACCCATCGGGTTCATCCTGTAAGCCAGTCGTCTCATCATCTGGTTCTCACTGGCTTCAGGTTGGAAGTTAGCAAATCCAACCATTCATTGTTTTTATGGACCTGAAACAGGCAGTAAGCAGCAACTCCAGATATTCAGTCATTCAACAAGTCGATGTAAAACAGAAAAATGGATAAAATATAAGAAAGAAGTATAAAACCCTCAACATGTCAGCTGGTCAGCATCAGAGGGAGGAAGCTGTGTGGTTCTGGTTGGATGGTACCATTTGCCTGGTCAGAACCTTAAAGCAGCAGAGCAGCTGATGAAGCTCAGTCCTGTTCCTGCTGCGGCTCTAAAACATCCTGGACCGTAGCCTCTCAGAGCCATGTGGTCCGCTCCATTCCAGCAGTGGTTCCAGGCTGAGGTTCTGCCTGGTTCCTCAGAAAGGACCCTCTGCTGGGTCACGTCAGCTGATCTCAGAACAACTGCTACAACCCCACTCCGCTTCCAAACAGCCGTTGCCATATGTTCCTGATCAGACCTCAGGCTGGAAGTCTTCCTCACCAGTATGTCTCTCTCTGTGGATCCAGTGACTCCAGTGATGGAGCGTGTGTCAGGAAACGTTGTGGAGTTTGAGATGAGCTCCCTGAAGCCAGCCACACTCTACACGGTGAAGGTCTACGCTGTGAGGGACTCAGCCAAGAGTGCAGCCACTACCACGGAGTTCACCACAGGTCGGTGCCCCCCCCTTTACCCCCTGTATGATGTATGTTAGTGTGAGGTATGACACCTCCCTGACTGGGAGCGGAGTCTGATGGGCTCCCCTGTCTTTAGATGTTGACGCTCCACAGGACCTGGCGGTCACCAACATCCAAACAGAGAGCGCCATGCTCACCTGGAAGCCCCCCCGCGCTGACATCACTGGCTACCTGCTCCACTTTGAGTCTGCTGTCGGCACCATCCATGTGAGTTCCCAGCAGGTCTGCCCTCTGCAGCTCTGAGCAGAAGCTTTCCTCCATCACTGGGAGCAGTGAGGAGATTGATGCTGTGTCTCTCCGCCCTCAGGAGGTGGTTCTAGGTCCTACCGCCGTGTCCTACAACATGGCCGACCTCAAGGCTTCCACAGAATACTCCGTTAGGATGGAGGCTCTGGCTGGTCCCAAGAGGAGCCAAGTGGTCTCTACCATCTTCACCACCAGTGAGTCCGTTGCTACGTGTTGCTGTGGCTCAGCTGTCCTTCAGTAGGACCAGTTTTAAAAGCCATGACAGTCGAAATCAACGCAGACTGAAGGGATTCACAGCATCACATGTTCTGCATGTGTCCAGTTATTAAGGTCACTGTTTCTGAACAGATTCCATTTATAGCTCATATATTAGCGATTTCCTCTATTAAACAAATAATTTCATACAAACTACTAATGTCTGCATCATCTAAACTGACCTGCTATGATCGGACCCGACCCGACCTAATCTGATCTGATCTAATCTAATCTGATCTGCCTGGATCTGATCTGTGATTCTAGCCGGCGTGCTGTACAGACACCCCAGGGACTGCTCACAGGCCCTACTGAATGGCGACACCTCATCAGGTGTTCACACCATCTACCTGGGAGGAGATGAGAGCCAACCCCTGCAGGTCTACTGTGACATGAGCACCGATGGAGGCGGCTGGATTGTAAGTCAGGAGCGTTTATCTAGCTTTTTATCCACTCTTTCAGGTTTAGTTCCTGGCTGTTTTCTCAGGGTTTTTCTCCTATGAGGCATAAACAGGTCAATGTGGAAAAGATTAAACTCTTCCTATAACCACTGGTGGTCTAACCCTGAGAGGTCACTGCATGGAAGGAGGTGTGTCTAAAAGCTGAATGGATCAGGAATCAGGCACAATAATCACCAGAAGGGCCAATAATAGGCTAGAGGGGCCAATAATCAGCCAGAGGGGCCAATAATCAGTCAGAGGGGCCAATAATCAGCCAGAGGGGCCAATAATCAGTCAGAGGGGCCAATAATC